TACCTTGACGGTTTGGTTGACTCGTTCGACACTGTGGTTCACCAACACGTGAGCCCCTCTTTATTTACTACCCCATCGTATTCCATTTCCTCCACGGAACAGAGTTTGGTCTCGCTGTTCAATCTCTAATGATTACGCTCATCTGCATAATCTCTGTTGTTATTTGCTGTTACCTAGAAGGAGACATTTGGTTCGTATCTATTATTCACCAAACGATGGTATTGTACGAGGAACCATATTCAGGTGGATTACGAAACGACCGTTGAGGCAAATGGACGGTCGTTTTGCATAGGGTCCATTTCACAGAGCTTTTAACATGAACTTTTACGTGATGGTTCAAGCTATGTTACGATAAATAGCGCCGGGTCAACAATGCGATGACACCACGACTTACACTTTGTCGTATGATTTTAGAACTCTCTCGAGATTTTTTGATAACAAAACGGGGCAGCACATTGAAACGAATGGTAACCCAGGCACCATCACGGCACATAAAGTAAGACACGATCACCAAGTGCAAATTCAAAAATAACGTATCTAGCGCCACCAGACAATTCATCTGGGTGTGACACTTTTGGCCCCAATGAAATTCACTATTCTACTCTGGTGGTATGTATTTTTATTCCGATACAATTCTAAGATGCATAGCACAAATAAAATGCACTAAGCACAGTCGGAGGAAAGCCGCAGATGAAAGAATTTGTTTTACAAGCGACTAACTACTCGTAAGTACGATGTGTAATTATTCGTAAAAATCACAGACAGAGGGATGATGCATCGTGCTTGTGTTATCGCACAGCTGATTCTTCATGAACTTCCACGTCATTTTAAGTCACCGGTGATTAACGCATTCCATATTACACTGACGTTTACGATAGCAACAGCCTTAAGTGCTGAAGAATGAAATTTAAACATTTGTCGCTTCCTCAACGTTCCGATAACATTCTCATGAGCTTAATCGCTTGTTCAATTTGTAAATCGGTCTGGACAATCGCCTTTAATCTGACGGATATGTGAAACCAAAATACCTGAAGTGTTGAGAACAGGCAATCTATGGGTAAAGTTTTTATGACCGGATGGTTTCACTAAGCTAGAGTGTACACCAGTGAAACATCAAATTCACTTATTTATCTATTTTTTGTTTAAATCAATCAGTCATAATATATTTCAAATATGTTATGTATCAGACTGTTATTAAATGTACCGAATTACGGACCGTTACTTGACCTCGGTCTTACTGAACCAACGAATGGGTTAACAGTAAACCCCTAAACGAGAGAATTACTTTCTTTGCGAAACACTAAATAAAACAATTGCGGAGAGAAGTGAGAAAAACCATTCACGTAGGAAAAAAAGCAATCGAAAATCACTTCGACTTTGTTATGCATTTTTGTATCAAAAGGCATTGTCTATCTCAAGCTAGTTATTCCAGCTAAAACGATCTGTGACGTACTTTATAACACCATTCTAAGGGTTATGGGCAGAACGAACATTGAAAATGTCTTTAGTATCAGACGACTCACAAAACGATCGAAGTAAGCACAAGATCAACATTACAACTACTCCAATGGGGCTTAAGTGCTCATCCTTAAGGCCCCGGGAAATCACGATTGAGCATTAAGTCTCCGTATCTCTGGAGTGTATCTACACCCACACCAGTCCCAATGCAATTCAGTATGTAACGGTGTCTGATAAGAAAGTTACATTCATGTACTTGGCAGTGCGTACTGTTCATTCCGCGCTTAGATAACACCGGTTCAACGGCGAAAGCGGGGTGGGTGATACGGAACGTTCAAAGCTGTAACAAACGGAATTATGGCAGCCCACGATCGTTCCAAGCATCAAACCTTAAGCCAAAATATTCGCCATTCTCTTTGAGTTATATGGAGACAAAATAATCTCGAGGATCAACAGAATGGTTCCATGCTATTAATGTGAGTTGGATGCATCTAACCTTAGTTCGAATTAGGATTATTTATATATTATATAGTATGAGATTGACGTAACGAAACTGCCCGGATGCGGACAATCGAACTGGTGGCTCAAATAGTAAAATGT